TGCTAAGTGAAATAAGCCAGGTGGTGGAAGAAAAATACCATATGATCTCACCTATAAGTGGAACCTAATCAACAAAGCAAGCAGGCAAGGAGAATATGACCAGCAACATTTACAGAAAGAAGAATCTGACAGGGATGGGAAGGAGAAAGGGAGAGGGGTAGCAGGGAGGGGAAGGGGAAGGGTCAGATCAAGGAACAGTTGTGAAGGACACATGGATGAAACCAAGGTGGGGATGGTTCGAGGAGGGGAGTTGGGATGGCTGGGATAAGGGAGAGTGGTGGCGGGTAAATGGATACAAATGTATTGGAACAATTTTTTTTAAAAAGAAAGTTAAATAATTCTTTCTTTTTTTATTTTATTAACTTTTAATTGAAATATATACAATTCAATGGATATTTGCAAACTGAACAAGCTCAAAATAAAAAAAAAATTTAAAAAAGAGATGAAAATCCAACTGTGGTTAATTGAATGGAAAAGACCAGTTTTGAAAAGTGAATCATGAAGCAGCTGGTGGGACCGCACTTCCTCTGCCCTAATAGGTACTGCTCTGATTTGACCCTCAGGAGCAACAGGCTATCCAGTGATGAAACAGGCAGGCACTGCCCCGAAGTGGGCTCAGAGAGACTTATTATCACAATGCAGCAGGCTGGGCTGGTGTGTGGAGAAGAAAACTGCACTGTAGCTAGATATGCATGTGTTGCCAACAAGTCCTTTTTGAGGCCTTACATATTTTGTGGTCATGTATATATTTTTTATTTTTTATTTTGCCACTTTTAGATTCTCTGGGAGCTCTGCTTTTTTTCAGTTTAAATTTGGTGGAGGTTTAATGGGATTCCTTAAATGGTCAAAACTCAAAGTCTCCTGAAGACTGAGCAAAGAGGAACCCTCCAGGTAGAAGAACAGAGGGGACCAAGAGTGCAGAGCAGTTTCCCAGATCCTCTGGGAGTATTGTCTTTTACCCAACTGTGATCACTCTGTTCCATTCCAAGTTCTACCTGCGCCTGTTTTCTTCTTTTGACCACATACACTTTGGGCACATTACTGCTTTCCAGCCATAGAAATCTCAGAGGAATCTCAGATTATTTGGGTGAGGGCCCCCGAGGGAGCCTTAAGCAGTAAGTACAGGGCCCCATTGAAGTGTTATGAAAGTCAAGGAGGTGAGGAGCATCATGTTTCCTAGACACAGATGATGGCTTCTGATCACTGCTGACTTGCCTTCATCTCTACAGAAAGGGGCTGATAGTTTAATTATGCCATTGCTGACATTCTCTGACTGTTGAAAGGAATGTTTCTACAACTATAGGCCTTTGTCTCTAGGGAATCATTTCAGTGAGTGGTTACGGGGACCTTCCTATGTTACCCATATGGGGTGCTCTGTGCCAGCAACACAAAAATGGGCATGATAGAAATCCTGCCTCTCTCCCCAGAAACAGGTCAACAAAGTGTCCATAACTCAGCTTAGTGAGACAGAGTTCTTCCACAGGGAGTCAGGACAGCTTTAGAAAAGAGTTAACATTGTTCTGGGCATTGAAAGATGAATAGAAGTCTCAGGAGAAGAGGGCAGAGCTGCTTTGGCTTATTGAGAAATAAAAGTCACAGTAGAGGAAATGAGCTAAGGCAAGGCAGCTATTAGCTCACTGGAAAGAAAGAGAAAAAGAGGACCTTGGAAACAGGGACAGGGTTTAAGCCTGGGAAGAGATGCTGCTGCCTGCTGTACCTCTGGCTGCAAGTCTTGTGGGGACTCTTATCGTTTAGGAGAAAGAGCAGAGATACAAGGTGTGGAACATGCTCTAGCCAGAGCATGCCATGGGTTCCTTGTCTTGAGATTTTTTGTCTTTTTTTGGCCAGGGGGAATCCTAGGGAAGTTCTCGGGGGAGAGTCTTAAGAGATCATTCATTAGCTTTCCATGTGTGTCTTTCAATATATGGATTAACTAAAATGTGTATATAAAGGGGTCAGTGTTATTTTCTGGTTAGTTTTATTTTCAAAGAATGTCAAAGACAGACTGGGACCAAGGCCAGTCTGCCCTGGGATGGTCTGGAGTGTGTAAATCATTTGCTCCTGTGTCTTTGGTTAGATAAGATAAAGCCTTGTGATTCACAATCTAGCTGTAAAATGCTCAAATTGTTTGACTTTGTTTAAATATTTTGTCTCAGTTTCCCTTATTCCACTTGTCAAGGGATTTCCCTAGCTTCTTACTCTCCAACCTCAGCTGCACAGTGAGGACAGGTGCAGTACATAGAGATCTGAACTAACTCTCATGTAAGAGCATGTGTGGACTTTCCCTTGGAATCTATGTGGACTTCCTGGGCAGGGAGGACATTTATATTTGTAAGACAGATCAAGGTCATTCAGACCCCTTGGTGGGAGTGGCTTCTGTATTTATTTTTGGACACTGTAGAGACACTTGTAGCCTATCTAGGTATATCAGGACTCTACTTCACACAGGTCTCCATAGCCTGTTCCCTCCCAAAAACCCATGAAGATAATAAGATTGCTGACACCCATCCTAGCTCCAAACATGCACAATACTTCTCAGGTTAAAATACCATATTACTTATGCTTCAGTTGCAATTTTATTGAATTTAAAGCCACCTGAGAAAAGATACAATTTCTTTTTGTTTGCTTTGGTTAAACCACTTTACTGAAGTAAGATTTACCTACAAAAGCTACAACATCTAGTGTCTATAATCAAAAGCGTTTGGTGGTTAGTATACACGATGAAACCATCACTACAATCAAAGCCATACACTTATCACCTTTAAAAGTGTCCCCCAACATCCATTACTTTGGTTAATTTATTTTTGTCTTGTGGTAAGAACACTATATACTCTTTTGGTACATGTTTAAGTGCACAATACTGTAGTTTTAGCTGTTGGCTCCATGTTGTATGGTGGATCTCCCAATATTATTCATCCTGCATAACGTTATGCTCTTTGACCAACATCTTTCTACTTCACCTCCCCTACACCTGATAACCATAACTCTTTCCTTTTCTGTGAGCTTAATTATTTTGAATTCTTCATAAAATTGCAGTCATGAAGTATTTGTCTTATGTCTGGCTTACGTCATTTACCATAATGTCCTCTGGTTCATCTACATAGGGGCAAATTTTCTTCTTAGGGTTCAATAATTTTGCATAAGATGTAACCTGTTCGGTAGAGTTCTGTTGCACATGTTGCTGCTTCTCACATGTGATCATATCAAGTTTCTTATCCATGGCAAATAACACATTCCATCTTGATGTTGTCCTGCCATTGTCTGGTGGGGGACAATGGGACTGTGAACCTGGAACTTGTCTGAAAAGAAAATCACAAAGACACATGGAGGATAGACAGGTGCACTGGCCTGGTTGGGAACTGGAAGACCAGTTCTCTAGGGAGAGCATTAGCTAAGAGCATGCAGCAGGCTCTTCTGAATATGGGAAATCTGAGGACAGGAAGGACTGGGACAGATTTAAGAGTTCCCTCTCCTGGAGAAGGACATAAGGTCTGAGGACCTCTGTGAGGAAAATAGACTGTCAGGCTGAAAACAGCCTTCTCTCCTTCCATAAGCACCATCTGGTCACTGATGTTTGGGGTCTAGAAACTCTTTTTCTTTATTACCAGGCATGGAGTTTTGACCCCTTCCCTGATCCACCGTGGCCCCAGAAACCCCTCTCAAGACCCCTATGCTCTTGCAGTTGAGTGATTTCTCCATGGGATTGGTTGTATTTAAGCCAAGGCACTCACTATAACTGTGCTACTCAAAGTGTAATCCAGAGACTAGGAATATCACCATCCCCTGGTTTTGGGTTAAGAACCAAACTCTTTAGCCATGTCCAGACCTACTGGGCCAGAATCCTAGGGTAGGAACAAACTTGGGGACCTGGATATCCACAGGCCTCTGGAGATAATAGTTCCCTTCAAAGTTCACAAGTAGCTGCACACAGATACTGGAGGCCTATTTCATAGTACAGAACTGAAGATTGTTTGCTATGAGTGCATTACTTAGTCATTCCAGGGCTGCATTTGCTGTTCCAGCTGGAGGCTGTGAATGTCGCTTCTCTAGAAACTGCACATAGGAAATTGTGCCTGATGAGCTGTGATGAAAGTGGCCACAAGAGGGCACCTAATGGATACAGCTAAGAGATCCCTGGAGCTCATTTGATTCATTCTCCCTCCTTTTCTGTTTCTCTTCCACTTCACTCACTCTGCCTCTTCTAGAAATAAATTCCTACAAAGAAAACTATAGGTACAATGTATGTCAGTGGCCATTCTCTCTGTAAACAGCTTCAGAGAGAAGGGATTCACTTACCCAGCCTTAGCTCGGGCTTAGCTTGTAGAAGCACATCCGTAAGCTGAGAAGTTGTGCAGAGTTATGCAGCGAGCTCAGCTTGATCTTCCACCATCCCTAATGAGGCCACAGGCCCAGGAGCCAGGGAGCCAACTTTGTTTCAGAAGCAAAAGAAGTGGGAGAAGTGGAAGTGGGACAATATAACACTGAGGACTGTAAAAATCTCAAGCTCCTCCTGCACATTTCTAGCAAATACACATTCATCACTGGGCAGATACCTTCTATCACCCACAAAATTGGCTTTTGGCAGCCCTTTTTTTGGCTCTCTCCTTTCTTCTCTTGCTGACGTTCACTCTACTGCTGTATCTGGGGATTGCCTTCCATGTGTACCTCTTGCACTTGTGTTCTTATTCCAGAATCTGGTTCTCAGGCATACAAGCAGTCTTTTCTCTCCACGGAGACACTGAGGGAGAGCTGTGGCTGGTATTCAGCTAGAGAAGACCACTCCTCCTATTGCTGGTTCTTCCCAACCCAACCTGCCTGGGCCTCGTTCCTCTGCCCTGGGCACGAGACTATTTTAACCACATTGGAGGGAGGAGGTAGAGTCATATGTGGGAAGGGACAGCATGTAATAGCAGAGAGGAGGCCCACAGGAGAATATGTTCTGAGCAGATAAGTTGGACCACTGCCCAGGTAGGCACCAGTTGGAGTCAGTCAGAAGGACCATGGGTGGCTGGTTGCCTACAGCCCTGCAGTCCTTGCAATGGAGTTGGGCTCTGCCCTGGGTCATGTTCCTGCTTCTCATAAGTTCCCAACTCCAGGTGACTCACAGCTGGACTTCTCAAGATGAAAGGAAGAGTGATGACCAAAAAGTCATGGAAAATTATTTCCCTGCCACTGTGGAGTATGCCTTGCACATATTCAACCAGAATAGCAAGGACATGAATGCATACAGGTTGGTGCGCATCTTGAATTCCTGGAAGGAGCAGGTAAGTGACTGCATCTTGTGCCCTGCTGGCCTTCACTTGTATTAAGTGAAGGTAAAGGACAGGAGAAATATCATAGGACCTTGTATACCATTTGAAGCTCATAAAAAAATGCAACCAATTCAGTTTCAGATTTTATCAAAATTTTTGTGTGGAAATTTAAAAAATTAGACCAATGTTTACTCACATACAATGCATTTTTTCAATCTTTATGACATTGTTTAATGAAGAATGACTTCAAAATATAGCCTATGAGGGGATAAAGATATCCAGTAAAGAAGAGACACACAGAGAAAATATTTTAAAATATAGATTGAAGAAATATTTCAAGAAAATAAAATAAAAGAAGATAACTAGATAGATAGACACAGAGAGGGAAGGAAGGGAGGAAGAGCAGGGCTGAGGATCAGAAGCAGTGAGTGTTCCCCCTCAACCAGTGTGAGGTCAGCACCTCTGCTGTGACTTGAGCTGGGTTCTCTGCTGTGGTATCAAACTATGTAGACTGGTATTATTTTACACTCTTCCCTATACGATGGCTTTTAATCCTAAAAGTTTCTCCTTGCCATGGATTCTTTTCATAATATAACCAATAATGCCATTTTCATTTGGGCTGCAGACATGAGCAGTGAAAACACTGTCCTGAGGGACACTTCTGGTTGTATGACTCTGAGTGTGTGTGTGTATGTGCGTATGTGGTACAAGAGGCATTACTCTCTCACCCTCTGGACCTCTGCACCAAGAGCCCACATGAAGGGCAGAGCGTCTCCACCCTCTGCTGAGCTTAATCCTCTGTGGACACTGGTGTGCAACATCCCTGCTGGTTTGGGTATCCTAGGCTCTTTCAGCCTGGACTTCTGGTTGAGTTTTCTATATCTGGAGTCACAGACTGAGTTTGGGCATCAGGAATAATGGATGGGATGCAGTGGGAAAATATGGAATAGAATGAGTAGGATAGAGTGTAGAAGAGGACAGAATATTTCACAGCATACTATGTAATAGAAGTTGTTTCCTGAAGTCATTGTCTCAGTTATGTGTGTGTGTGTGTGTGTGTGTGTGTGTATTTTGTTAGCATTGTATAACATTTTCCTGATGCTGAGCATGTGAAAAAGTGTTACTATGAGACTGTAGTTGAGTCTCTAACTCCAAGATGGAGGTTATCAAGCAATCTCTCACAAAGCCAACACCCTACCCCACATTTGTCACCTGTCCCTGGGAGTACTGTAGAAGCTAGAAGCATGCTGAAAGGGAAGGTGTGTTTTCACCATGGCATTTGGAAGTGTGAGGCTGCAGTGTGTGATATTAATAGTGTGTGATCAGTCTGCTTCTATATGAGGTGTTTCACCGGGCCCATGTGCCCCTTTGCCTAGAACATCCACAGCAGGTCTTTATTCCAAGGGAGCTGATCCAGACCCAGAGGGAAGCCCCAAATAGGGTACTGTTGAGGCTTGTCCCTACACTCCATGTGTCTTCACAAGCAACTACTTAATGGGACCATGAGGGATGTTTCCTTTTTAATGTTTATGCGTACCACAGGCAAAAACCATGATGGCTTTCTCCATGGAGCTGCAGCTTCGCAGAACCAGGTGTGGGAAACTTGATGATGACATTGACAACTGCCCCTTTCAAGAAAGTCCAGCACTTAACAATGTAAGATACACATTAGCCTCCTTCAGGTTCCACAGCTGTGGGCCTGCATAGAAGTACAGTGGGGGTTGGGGCAGGGGACACACCATTCTTAGGGACACAGAAGAATGAGGGAGCTGCTGGCCACACTAAAGCCACTGCTTGTGCTATAGGCAGAGCTTGGCCTGGCAGGGAAACACCAGAATTCACTTGTAGGTCCCTGGGAAGTCTGAGATCCCAAATGTCCACTCACCCAGTTCAGCTGTCTGAACTTCAGGCCATACTGGTGACAGATTTTTCCTGCCCCTAGGGTCCAGGTCTCCTGGTTCTGGCTAAGGATGTACCCTTCCTGCTCTTCACCAACTTCCCTTTCGTGCCTTCAGGAGAAGGAACATCTTTGACTAAGAGGCCAGATCGCAGGTCCTCTTGGCACTAAGTAGAGCCTGTTGGGGGTTTGGCTGAGGGGAGCTCTTGTCCTGTATGCCCTGCTCTGTGCGGAGCTCCACTGAGCTGCAGTTTCTGCTTGGAAGATAAGAAGTGAACCCTTATGTAGGTAAAGTCGACCCAGGGTCAGGGCTCCTTGAGATAAGGCCCACTGGGAAGGAGCCTGTGTTGCTGTACTAAAGGGCATGGGTCACACTGGGAAAGCCTGGGGTTCCCCTGGGAACCATAGGCCTGGAGAGAGAAGAGTGACACAAGAGAACCTGGGGTCAAGAGAGAATCAGATCAGGTACATCCAAGACTCAGGCAGGGCTACACCTGAGGGCCAGAGCATGCATCCCCCAGCTGCTCACCTTGCAAATGCGAGTTTGGGATGGATGCTGCCTTTAGTGCTAGAGCCACAAGCTTCCCAAGGCTTCTTCACTCATATGTTATTCCTATGCTTATTCCCTCAGACCTTCACCTGCTTCTTCACCATCAGCACTGAACCCTGGAGAACAATGTTCCAACTCCTAAACAAGACCTGCCTGGAGGGGTTCCACTAAGTGATATCACACCCCAGCCCAGCCTCTGTATCCCCTTTGGACACCAGCAGCTCCCTGTAGATGGCCCTTCATTGGCTGAGCCACTCTGAACTCTGTTCTCTGCCTTGAAAATATCTAGGGTCTCACACACAGGCATTGTGGAAATTCCTCATTGGCCTTTTTTTTTTTAATATAGAATAGATCATTAAACATCAGCATTTCAAGAAGCTCTATGTAGCATGACTCCTTACTGAGGGGGATGGGCATTTGGTGGACTCATACCAGCAGGGCAGCCTGCTTGTGACCTTCATAAGCTAGATCCCAATGGTACAGGTAATGTGCCTCTGAGCTGCTGGCTGAGGGCTCATTGAGGGATAACCCATAGTCCCACAGGTGCAATGACCATGACCGAGGTAGGGAACACTTGTGTGCAGGATGGATGTAGATAGGGCCTCAGGCACCTCAGAGCATGTGTAGCCCCTGTTCTGGGTGACTTGCTCACACATATTCACTGGTCCATGACAGCTAGGTCAAGGTAGAAGGGGATTCTAGTCTCTACTCAAAGAGCAGACAAGGCCACTGCCAACAACAGCAGCAGCAGCATCTCTTAGAATCTTTTTAAAATGTACATTCTTGGGGTCTGTACCTATGGACAAAGAGACTGAATTTCCACAAAATCTCAGGGAACCCATGGACAATTAAAGATTGAGAGGCCCTGCTACTGAGATTCCACCCTAATCATCTAGAAAAAGATTTGACGAATTTTTATATAAAGAGGCAAACAGTAACTCTTTGGCTTTTGTTGGCCATGTGGTCTTCTCAACACTCTAATCTTGCCTTGTATTTTATGTATTTTATGAATTTGACCTCAAAGACAATGGAAGTAAAAGCAAAGATAAACAAATGGGACTATATCAAACTAAAAAGCTTCTTCACAGCAAAAGAAACTGTCAACAGAACAAAAAAGGCAACCAACCAAATTGGACAATACGTTTGACAAAGGGTTAATATCCAAATACATAAAGAACTCACAACTCAACAACAACAACGTCAGCAGCAATAACAACAAACAAAGTATCAAATTAAAAAATGGGCGGAGAACCTGTACAGACACTTCTCCCAAAAAGACATACAAATGGCTAAAAGATATATGAAAAGATGCTTACCTTCATTAGCTATTAGAAAAATGCAAATCAAAAGTTCAGTGAGATACTTCCTCACACCTATTGGAATGGCTATTATCAACAAAGTAAGTAATAACAAGTGTTGAAGAAGTTGTGCAGAGAAAAGGAGCTCCCATTAACTGCTGGAAGGACTGTAAACTGGTACAGCCACTTTGGAAAACATTATGGAGGTTCCTCAAAAACTTAAGAATACAATTTCTATATGACCCAGCAACTCTTCTTCTGGGTATCTACCTAAAAAGAAATACTAAAAACATTTATTTGCAAATATATATGCACCCCTATGTTCATTGCAGCATTATTCCTGGTGGCCAAGGCATGGAAACAACTGAAGTGTCCTTCAATAGATGATTGGATAAAGAAGATGTGGTACATATATACAATGGAATACTACTCAGGCAGAAGAAAAGATAAAATATGGCCATTTGCAACAACATGGGTAGATCTTGAGAATATCATGCTAGGCTAAATAAGTCATACAGAAAATGCCAAGAACCGTATGACTTCATTCATATGTGTGATATAAAACTGAATGCAACAAATGAACAAACAAGAAAAGCAGATAAACCAAAACTCATAGACACAGATAACAGCATAGTGGTTATGAGGGGGAAAAAGGAGGTGGGGTAGCAAAGGATAAAAGGGGTCAAATATGGTGAGAGAGGGAGATTTGACTTTGGGTGGTAAGCATACAATGCAATACACAGATAATGTATTATAGAATTGTACACTTGAAACCTGTGTAATTTTATTAAGGAATGTTGCCCCAATAAATTTAATAAGAAAATTAAAAAGTTACAAACATACTGGCAATCCAACAGTAAAACTTCAGCTGAGAAGTTTTGAATTAATGCATCTCCTGATAAAATAGAATCAAATTAGTAGTAAAAATATATTAGTAAATTATTATTAAATTGAAAGTAATTGAATTAATTTAATAATTAAAAATTAATTTAATGCCAAATAAATAGTAAAGTAGATAATAAAATTAGTTTGTAAGTCAATTATAAATTTAATTAGTAATAAAAACCCCAAAATAGTAAAAACATAAGTAAAGCATGTTGCTATATAAATTAATACTTTGCCCTTAAATATCTCATTTCTCAATCATTTGTAAACAACAAGTATAGTACACTTTAAAACCTCTTAACTGAGTGTCCAACATCACTAATTATCAGAGAGAGGCAAATTAAAATTACAATGAGATATCATCTCACACCTGTCAGAATGGCTACCATCAATAAGTCAACAAATAGCAAGTATTGGTGTGGATGTGGAGAAAAGGGAGCCTTAGGGCACTGCTGGTGGGAATGTAAACTAGTACAGCCAGTGTGGAAAATTTTCCAGTGTGGAAAAGGGGGGATGTAGGCAGCAGAAATGTATAAGTTATCTATCTACATCAGCAGTTTAAGCTTACAGAGAATAGATATTGTTTAAAGATGACAATGGCAGAGACATACCAAACTGCTTCGGGACACAATTGAGCAAACATTATGGCACCAGCTGTATTCTGAGTCAGGGTCCAGGAGTTCTGTAAATTTCTTTCCCAGCTTTGAGCTGGTTATTTGGTATATGATTAACAGAGCTCGAGGGAGAAACAAAGCATGCTTCAAGGAGTGTAATTTACTTCTAAGTCTGATTTCCCACAGGGGCTCTTGGAGTCAGTAACAGGTCTTGCCTGTCTCCAGTGTTACCGGCATTCCTGTCAAGACTTATAGGTCCTTTCCCAGACCCCAGCTGGCGCAGGGCTACAGTTCCCAATACCACTCAAAGTGACCCCCTACAAACTACTAGTGTCTAGAAAATATAAAGGACTCTGAAAACTTAACAGTAAAAAAAATATATCTAATTAGAAAATGGGCAAAAGCCAAGAACAGCATATGTTCAACAGCACTAGCACACAAGAAAATACAAATTAAAACACACAATAAGATATCACAATACACTCAGAATTAATAAGGAAAAAAGTGACAACACCAAATGTTGGCAAGAATGCAGAGAAACTGGGTCACTCATATATTGTTGATAAGAATGTAAAATAATATAACCACTCTGGAAAACAATTTGACAGTTTGTTATAAAATTCAACATTCATGAGGTAATTTTCAGAGCTGTTAGCATTATTAAAGTATTTTCCTTTTTATTTTATTATTTTTAAAACAATTTCATTTATTTTCTTTTCTGGACTTCTTTTTTTTAAATTTATAAATCATCTTTATTCTATCACAGTTGACTCAATTATTCCCCTTTACCCCCTTCCACCCAAGCCACCCCCAACCCCAACTCCTACAGTCAATTCCCACTCTGTTGTCCATGTCCATGGGTCATTCATACATGCTCTTTGTCTAATCCCTTCTCCTTCTATCCACCATTGTCCTCTTTCCCCATCCCCTCTGATCACTTTCAGTCTGCTCCATGTTTCCATGCCTGTGATTTATTTTGTTCATTAGTTTATTTTGTTGAATAGAGTCCATTTATAGGTGAGATCATAGGGTAATTGTCTTTCATCAACTGGCTTATTTCACTTAGCTTAATATTCTCCACTTCCATCCACATTGTCACAAAAGGTAAGAGTTGCATCTCCCTCTCTTTCTTTCTTAAATGCAGATCGATTTTATTTATTTTTTAAAATGTCAAAGTTAATTATGAAATATTTAAAAAAATTTTAAACCATTATAAAGTCTCAACAATTAAACCAACATGAAACCAGCACAGGAATAATCAAGTAGACCAATGAAATATAACAAATATTCTAGACACAAATGTGTATATCTGGCTAATATATGTATGATTAAGTTGATATTTCAAATCAATGAGGAAAATAAGGCTTATTCAACAGGTAAGGTGCATGGACCAATATTACTTGAAATAAAACAAATATAGAGCCCTTATTTCACACATTATACAAGAAATATTCAGGTCACTTAAAAATCAATAAGTAGAATCTAAGGAGTTTTAGAAGAAAATAGAACTAATATTTTTCTTGACCTGAAGTAAAATATTCAAACCCAAAAGCTATAAAGTAAATATTGACAATATGACAATATTAAACATTTAACTATATAGTAATATACATATAAAAAGTTAAAGGAGCAAGGAATAGAATAGAAAAGTATTTGCAACACATCTAAAACATGGTTAATAGTTTTCTGGTTTGTTTTATTTTGAGGGAAAAAAGTCTACAAAACTTTAATCAATAAATGAATAAATAATACCAAAAAGTCATTTAAAGCTTTTTTAAAAAAAAAATAGAAATAGGAAAGAAATATACTAAAACATGTTTAGTTTCAACAAATAGTAAAGGAACAATTAAAATAACATTATTGTCACAATCAGATTAATGAGTATTAAAAATATCAAGTATTACAACTCTGAAAGGAACTTGGTATTCATAGAAACGTTTTCCTCATCTTAAAGCAGTCCCTTTAGCATATTTTGCAGTGCTGGTTTAGTGGAGGTGTATTCTTTTAGCCTTCTTTTGTCTGGGAAACTCCTTATTTCACCTTCCATTTTAATTGAGGGCCTTGCTGGGTAGAGCAGTCTTGGTTGCAGTCCTTTCCTTGTCATTACTTGGAATATTTCTTGCCACTCCCTTCTGCCTTGCAGTGTTTCTGTTGAAAGTCAGACGTGAGCCATATCGAGGCTCCCTTATATGTTACTACCTGTTTCTCCCTTGCTTCCTTTCAGATTCCCTGATTGTCTTTGATATTTGCCATTTTAATGATGATGTGTCTTGGAGTGGGCTTCATTAGTTCCTCTTGAATGGGACCCTCTGTGCTTCCTGGACTTGTGTGACTTTTTCTCTCCTCCAATTAGGGAAGTTTTCCACCATGACTT